AGAAAAGGATACACATCGATACACAGAAAGTTACTTTAAGTGGTGATTGAAATTAACCATAGAAAAGTAAATGACTAAAAAATCTAAGTAGGAAGTTTATATCATGTTAGGCAGAGATATCTCTTTTATTAAATGGGAAAAAAAATTTATATAGATGTGAATAAATTTTGGCACAATTAATCGAAAAAAGGTCTTTTGCGGATCAACTGTAAAGCGTGTACAACAGTGTAAATCTAGATATAATTTTTTGTATCCTTTTCTTGTCTAGGTGTATGAATTTGACAAAATCCTGCTTGAGATGTAATAAGCCGCATTTTTCAAGTGGCATTCAATTATATTGACAAAAAACAGAAATCTTCTATGTGACAGAATGGAAACAAGACAAGAAATTAACTCCCTATTCTTATTTATACACTAATATTTATCACTATTTTGTAGTCATTCCGATCTATTACAAATAAATAATAGTTACACAATCAGATGTAGGAAAAATAAGCGATTGGTTTCAATTTCAGTGAAAGTTAAAGCTTACTCACGTGATTGTGACTAGTAGTATCATTCTTCCTTTTTTTTGCTCTGTTCTTTTTTAGTTCTGTTACATATCTCTTATGATAAAACCAACAAAAGAAACGTCAGTTAGTTAATCAAATTCTGTTTAACAGGACATCTTTTGATAATAAGGATCTAGCAAAAAAGGAAATATCTTTTCCCGCACGAGATATGCGTGTGCAAACATTGCCACACATATGACGTAAAGGGACGAGAAAGGAAAAGAGAAGCAAAAGGCACAGCAGAAATCAGATATATATATGATGTATATGTGCGAAAAGAGATATCTCCGGGAGATATCTCTTTTCGCAAAAAGAGAGCTTTTGTTAGGTGCCTATCGGGTGCGGCAAAGAAAATGAGCCTCTCAGTACTTCTATTTTTCTCGTGTTCCTTTAGGACCCTAAGGTTAATGGTTTTTTTAAAAGATGCGCCGTTAAATACTCTATAAAATCAAAACCTAAATTTTAAATTCAGAACTTCAATCAAGATAACTACGCAAATTAAACGACAGACGAAAAAAAATGAAAAGCTTGTAAATTCGGTATTTTTCCGATTTGAACTCTTTCTTCTGCTAGTATTTCCGTAAAAAAGTGTAGCAGAAGTGAAAACTCAGTTCTTTTTGTACTTTCGAATGTGCACTTTTTCATGATTTGTAAAAAACGCTTTTTAGAGCAGAAGGTGTGCCCGAAAACAAAATTTCAAAAACACGTCAAAAATTGACAACCCACCGTTTCCAACAATATGCTTAAGTAAGAAACGAAAACATGATTGAAGTTTTGATTTTGCAGTTAGGTTGAGAAAAGCAATCATTTCAGATAAAAAAAAAACCGATCGAAAAATCTTTTGTTTTGATACAGTTATGAGACTTTTACTGAAAGCACCACTATACCCAGAATTTAAAAGATTAATGAGAAGATGCGGGACAACCGACAGAAAAATGATTATTTCTCCATAGCTTTAGATGTAAAAAAATTTGAAGTGTAGCTAAAAGACAGAGCAAAGTCAGAATTACAAAATGGCTAATTCAATTTTCGTTACTTTCAAATCCTTAACACAGAAAGTCGTTTTTGAATTTAGAAAGTTTTCATTTTCTTCGACTTTCGTCTAATTTGCGTAGTTTTCTTGATTGCAGTTCTGAAAGCAAAGTTTAGGTATGATTTTGTAATTTCGCGGTGCATCTTTAACCTTAGGGTCGTCAAGGAACACGAGAAAAATAGAAAATACTGAAACCTTACGAGGGAAGGCCACCAAGTGTTTCTTCGCTTTTGAGCTGAGACTCAGTTGATCGGGGATAATCGAGCATGCTGATTCCGAATTTCATAACGGTTTGGGCTAATTTTGACTTTAAAGTCCCGATTTTTGAAGATCTTGGCTTTCAAGCCGAAAAACCATTTGCGCTAAAAAAACTTTTGATCTGTCCAATTGACAGAGTACGTCGCGAAAGCTACAGAAAACCACTTTTCAAGGTTTCATGAGAGGTTCTGAGAGAGTTTTCTACGTCAAAGACTTAAAAAAAGAGAGGAAAAACCGGCTTTTTTACGCAGTATAGTGCAAAAATTGCTCTTTTTCTGCCTTCTTTTTCAGCTTATCGAAGGCCTGTTGAACTGAAGTTGGAGTGTGTCATGTCTAACACATATACGCAGCGATATTGATTAAAAGCCTTCGATAAGTTGAAAAAGAAGGCAAAAAAAGGGCAATTTTTTCAAATCAAAAATCTTAACAGATGATACTATAAGATATAATAAGTAGCACATTTCTAGAAATATCATCGAGACATTTTCCTAGTAAAATCCCTATGACTTTCCTGAAAGGATCCGAGACATATCCTACCAATAGCCTACAAGGATTTCACTTTAATTTCTTAGGATTCTAACAAAGTCTTGCAGAATCCTAATGAAATCAGGTACACCCGAAAGTCATAGAATTTACGAAGGTTCTGTTAGGATTCTAAACAAACTTAAGAGATATCCTAGTAGGATCCTATCCTAGCATTTTAGGACCCCGTCAGCAAGTTATTAAGTAGATCCTAAATGTCAGGATCTTGTAACGTCCTAGTAGGAAATAGACAGAAAGTACGTAGGATTTTGTCTAGAGAACTGCAACATGGCTTCAGTGAGGTTCTACCTAAAGACTTTAACATACCTCTTTTAATTTCATATGAAATTCTTCTGATAACGGCGTTAATTTTTTAAATGATGACAAAAATAAATCGAATAGTTCGTCTGAATTCTCATTTGAAGAATAAATTTGAGCTTTTGCTTCAAAAAGAAATCTCACCGATCCTTGTATACCAGCTATAGCTAAATCAACGGCGATTGTTAAAAATACACGAGCATCTAAACGTAAAAAAATGAATGTAATAAGGTGTCGAAAATGCAAAATTCGAGCAGATTTTGTTTTCGTTTATTCATATATAGTTGGATAGAGCTCGATGACCTGATTACGAATATGTGATTTTTAACTTTTTTCGACAAAGTTTTAAGTGAGAAAAATTGAAAAAATTCGGAGGATGTGAAATTTGAAAAAACGGCTTAGTTTAAAAAAACTTCAAATTTTCATCATGTGTGTTCTACTAACTTTTCGAAACTATTTTTTTCTGATTCATGCATTAAAAACTGAGTATGAGAATGATGCTTGATCGAGGTTGAAGCCAAAGGCCTATCCAGTACGGGCTTCCGTTGTAAACACTTCATAAACCTATCTTGTTTTTTTTTGTGAAGGGATGAAGCCGACCTTTTTACTTCATTAGAACCGCCATTAAACGAGCTTTAAAAGTATCTGTCGCTATTCTTTTTTTTGCTTTATTACTGAGAAATTATTGAGATTTTCACCAATAAATGAAAATAAACGAAAATTTTTGAAATATATATATTTATTATCATTTATGATCTCATTTTTTTCTGCTGACTCTAAATATAATACTTTTATTGCTTAAAAGTTGAGTTCTGATACAGAAAATTGAGAATTATGGACAGAATTCCGATGTTTTCGCTCCTGATTTAGAAAAAATATTTTTTTCAGTAATAAAGCAAATAAAAAGAATAGCGACAGATACTTTTAAAGCTTTTTTGATGGCGGTTCTAATGAAGTAAAAAGGTCGGCTTCATCTCTTCACAAAAAAACTACTGTCTGTTTTCGAAAATAATAGCCGCGGTTATTTTTTGAGTAACTTTTGACAGAAGACAGATAGAGACCGGCGGTTTTCACTATTCGATAACCTAGACCTGTATGCATCTTTTCACAAGCAAAAATGATTTTGAAAAAGATTCAAAGACCGGATTTTGAACAGATCTTTGGAAAACCAGTTTGGATCTCTGAGAACTGACATAGAAATAGGTCGATCTTTCTTCATAGAAAGATAGTTCAAAATGCCCCCTGCAAAACGGGAAATAAGCGAACCCTTAATTTTTTCCGGTTCAGGCGTGGCATCAGATTTCCCAGAATCAATATTTCTTTAGGTGTGGCAATACCGAAAATAAATGGAAACATAGGTAATCGACCACGCTGAATCTCTTGGCAATATCTGTTATTCAAAACACTTGTAAAAATCTGATAAAAACCTATATTAGGTGAAATAACCCTTTTTCAACCTAGGTTTTGCCTATATTTTGAGTAAAATTAAAAAATACATAACCCAGCCAACATCTATCCATATTACGTTAGAATATCAAGATGTACTCTATTTTACCTTCTCTATATTGATGCAACTCAACAAAAACCAACAGAAAATACTTTGGCTTTTGGAAGGGTTTTTCAGAAATCTTTCGAAGTACAGCAATGTTTTTTACTATTCTCAAGTAAAAAGAACATATAGAGTAGGTAAAATAGAGTACATCTTGATATTCTGACGTAATTTGGATGGATGTTGGCTGAGTTATGAATTTTTTAATTTTACTCAAAATAAACAGCAACCGTTTTTCCTGTAATTTCTCTGAAAAAATTAAACTATAAAAGTTTTAATTTAAATTTAAAAGTCTTGTAGAAAGTCCTTGACCTAGTAAATTGTTAAAATTAAATATTTTCTATAATCTACGAGTGTTATTGTATAAAACTATGATTGAGGAAAAAACAACCCATCTTTATTAATTGCTTAAAATTAAAATTAGAATCGTCAAAAATTAGAAAATTAAAATTATTGTAAATTAATAAATTCAAATAACTTTTAAAAAGTTTTAAGTTTAAACGCAAACAAAGTACATTCATGGG